GATGATGTCAGTGATGGTAATGATGTCAACGATGGTAATGGTGATAGTGATGATGATGATGTCAGTGATGGTAATGATGTCAACGATGGTAATGGTGATAGTGATGATGATGATGTCAGTGATGGTAATGATGTCAACGATGGTAATGGTGATAGTGATGATGATGATGTCAGTGATGGTAATGATGTCAACGATGGTAATGGTGATAGTGATGATGATGATGTCAGTGATGGTAATGATGTCAACGATGGTAATGGTGATAGTGATGATGATGATGTCAGTGATGGTAATGATGTCAACGATGGTAATGGTGATAGTGATGATGATGATGTCAGTGATGGTAATGATGTCAACGATGGTAATGGTGATAGTGATGATGATGATGTCAGTGATGGTAATGATGTCAACGATGGTAATGGTGATAGTGATGATGATGATGTCAGTGATGGTAATGATGTCAACGGTGATATTGATGACAGTGATGATGATGATGTCAGTGATGGTAATGATGTCAACGATGGTAATGGTGATAGTGATGATGATGTCCATGATAATGGTGATGATAATTTCAGTACCAACAACATTAGCAATGATGATAATAATAAATCTATCTTTGAAAGAAGGATATGCAGCACACTTACCTGTTTTCATTGTCATGAGTAATGATAATGTAGAAGAAAAGGCATAACGTTTATAGACAAAGATGGAAGTTCCAGTAACTGGGCTAATGATATATATATATTTTTTCCTTTGTGCATTTAGCATTTATCGAGCTGAATAGTAACTGTATTTGAAAGTCGGTAATCTGAACTTCATTTCAGTATAAATGTGGAATTTTCAGGTAAAATCGTGCTTTCTACACAGAATATGACAATTTTTCACTTTACTTAAACTATATTTGAAAATGACAGTGAACGAAGGCAATCTGAAACAAAGATTCGAGTTATTATATTTTAATAGAGCTAAAAGAATTCTGAACGTAACTTGAAGAATAACAGAAAAGTGCAAATACGGAAAACAAATTACGAGAATGAGGAACAAAGGTGGAATACTCACAAGTTTTCCTCTTTTAAAATCCTATGCGTTTTTCACCCTTTTTTTCCTTTTTCCTCCTTCTTATAGCTTTAGTTTCTGTTCGTATATGTATTTTTTTAAAGATTTATTCTCCAACTATTTCTTTTACTTTGGTTATTATTCTGCAAAAGCTCCGACCAGCGTATTGCAACCCCTTGAAAAGTCCGCACAAGCAAGGCGCGTTTGTCATCGTCTGTTTACATTGTGTTGTCGAGTCAGACGTTGTTATGGAAGCGAAGCCCATGGACCAATTTCAGGGCTGAAAAAGAGGGACTTTTACACTCTTTACACTGGCAGGATAAGGTGGTGAGGAGTATAAGGGTATTGAAGGATGAATGCGGGTGGTTTTGGGTGCGAGGAAGGAGTGGAATTTATCCCGAGGGCGGTGAGAAAGCAGTGCAGATGATGATGCAACAATGGGTACAAGAATCGCGAGGAAAAGTGAAGAATATTGTGATATAGGACGACGTGATTAAGTGTATGGATGTAGGGTGTGTTAGAATACATGATTCTGTGCTTTGATTGTCTGATTTGTTTTATTATAACGAAGGCTATTTGCGGAAAACTGATTTAGGAAAATTGTGATCTGCAAGTCTTTGTGAATGTTTTTGTTATTGTTTTTGCTGTCAGTGACGTGTTTTTGTTATTGTCAGGTGTTCTTTGAGATTGCTGAAAACCTTTGTCGGTTAAACATTTGAAATGTATAATGTATAATGTATAATGTATAATGTATAATGTATAATGTATAATGTATAATGTATAATGTATAATGTATAATGTATAATGTATAATGTATAATGTATAATGTATAATGTATAATGTATAATGTATAATGTATAATGTATAATGTATAATGTATAATGTATAATGTATAATGTATAATGTATAATGTATAATGTATAATGTATAATGTATAATGTATAATGTATAATGTATAATGTATAATGTATAATGTATAATGTATAATGTATAATGTATAATGTATAATGTATAATGTATAATGTATAATGTATAATGTATAATGTATAATGTATAATGTATAATGTATAATGTATAATGTATAATGTATAATGTATAATGTATAATGTATAATGTATAATGTATAATGTATAATGTATAATGTATAATGTATAATGTATAATGTATAATGTATAATGTATAATGTATAATGTATAATGTATAATGTATAATGTATAATGTATAATGTATAATGTATAATGTATAATGTATAATGTATAATGTATAATGTATAATGTATAATGTATAATGTATAATGTATAATGTATAATGTATAATGTATAATGTATAATGTATAATGTATAATGTATAATGTATAATGTATAATGTATAATGTATAATGTATAATGTATAATGTATAATGTATAATGTATAATGTATAATGTATAATGTATAATGTATAATGTAT